GCTATATATGAGAGGGTCTTATGCCCTTTTTACAACTTCAATTTTTTTTACATACCACCACCACAACACTCATTTTATTTTCACCATCATCATTACTCACTTGTAATTACTCGGAAGGAAAGCATTTCATATATATCTCTTTGTAACTTGTGCAAACAATAAAAGGTACCTTGAACTATTGGATTAAGAGCTGAGTGACTTTTATTAATTATCCTTTTGAATGCATCTTTTTGAAAGTGGATATATAGTTTAGAGTAATTAATAATACTTACTCTATGAGAGAGAAATAAAGACACAAAATAAAAATAAAAATAAAAATAATAAAAGAGACAAAATTAGAAAGATAAATAATTAAAACTTTGTGAAAATATATTTATTGCTTTTGATAGGTCCAAATGTAATTTTTTTCTCTCTTCTTTGTGTTTGTCTCTCTTCTCAAAGCTGGACTTATGGAGTAAATATTGTTGGTTACTCAATGAGTATTTTAAAATTTCTCTTTAGTTTATACGTTGCTTGGAGGGAATTAACGTCATGTGAAAACTATACTATAAGAACTTTATTGGAAAACAATATATATTTGTGTTACGAAGAGATTGTTTGTCTTTCTGTTTATATATGTCGCAAAATATTTATCCGGTCAAAATTTTAAATGGTATATTTTTTTCTAAAATATCCTTAATTAATATTGGTTTTATTTCATACAAGATTAAATTTGATGGCTAATAATGTGTGAGAGAGAGTGCTTTAATATATATATATATATATATATATATATATGAACAAAAATTACTAATATACCATAACAATTTTTTTTTTTTAATTTACAAGAAGACAATTTTTTTTTGGGTGGGAAAAACAATAAGATTAGCTTCAACTCAAAATTAATCATTTATATGCCTATTAATGTTTAATTGATTGGATATTATCTACTATAATTTATCATTTTAATACTCATTTTATAATTAACTATATATTTATTAAAAATAGTTTTTTAATTTATTATTAATTTCTTTTCTAATACTTACTGCATGTACAATTTCGTAAGAATCATGCACATAGGTTATATTTTATATATTTATTGTGAATTTAGTTAATCATTAATTTTTTCCTTTAGTTATTCTATTTTAAATATTTTTATCTTTTTATTCAATTTACAGTAAAAATTGTTTTGAAAAGTAATAAAATATTTTGTTAACTTAATTTGCTAACATCGTAGTTCTTTGACCATGACCATCCTAAATATAACCAATTTAAACCTAATGTTGGTATAAATTTGTGTGTGTGTATAATTATCAAATTTAAAAAGTTAGAACGATACCCAAGCAACAACATGCGAGTTGCAAACTAGTTTAAGGGCTTGGAAATGGATAAGGCACTAGAGATGCCAGATGTATAAAGCTTTCTAGTACAAAGTCTCCACTTTAGTTGGAGATTCCTTATTTATGCTTCGGTATCCAATTAATATTGAACTACTTCAGCTTCTCTTGTCTTGACCTAGCGACCCTTGTCATTTTTATTGTCTCTATCAACCACTATCGTGGCATTATATGCTTTACCAATACTACAAGTCTGCTACTACTACGTACTCAATACTAATTTGTGGTATTGAGAATCCCATATCCAGAAAATTAAAGGCATTTAAATAAATTGGATCCATCTTTGAAAAGAATGTTTTGCGATAGACCACGAAGCAGATCGTGATCACGAAAAAGGATCGTCCACTGATAAAAGAGGAAGACGATATTGGGTCAACTGCACCAGCTGGAGCAGGATAACCAATGAAGGACAGCCACTTTATCTGACTTTTCTAATATAAAACACAAAATTACATAATTTATCAGTTAAGTACAAATTAATTGTGGTTACCAGCTGCTATTTTTTCATTGATGCATGCAACCCATCCGACAATGCCAATCTGCGTAGAGGACACTTAAATTTGACGGGGAACTTCCACCCAACAAGATTTGATGCTGCTACGTGGAATATTGATATCCAACTATCCAATTAAGTTAAGAAAAATGTTTTTTTTTCCTTGATCATATTAAGCATAGTATTAATTATTTTCTTTGATTGCTAATTGTGTATAGTTATGGCTCTCTTTCTTTTTCTTTTTTATTTTTTTCATTACTTTGATAAAATACTCTTTTTAGGATAACCACGATCAGCAAAAGAAAATCTTATTTAGCTGCTTAATTACATATTAAAGCAAGATATAGCACATGTATGATTTTGCATTTTTATTCAAAAACTCTCTTAATTTGTTGATTGATGCCCATAGTATATAGAGCAAACATCCAAGCAAATACGAGATTGAAAGCACAAAGATTCGAAACGCAAAGCTGATGGAACCTTTTTTTGTTTTTTCTTCTTCTTGTTCGATAGGCATTAGCAACGTGTTGAGGCGTGTAATTATCTTGTCCCGGCATTTATTTGCTGATAGAAAACCTGAAACTGATAATCTTATCGATAAAAGATGTGTTCTTTAACCAAAAGTAAATTTTCGAAGCAATGCATTTATTTATTATTTTTTACCGAAATAAAGTATTTCTAGTCATCTTTCCGAAGCAAAGCATTTTTTTTCTTATATAAGATAATACTATCTAGACCATCAGTTTTTTTTTTGTTTTTTTAACTTCTTTTTAGTTTAGCTGTAAGAGTATCCTTAAATTAGTTGGTACAATCATTCGAGATTAATTTCTTTCTATGATAATTTTTTGAAACATCCATTACAAATTTTTTTAGGATAATTCAAAAACAAAAAGATAGAGGTTGGCCGACTAATTAGAGTTTTTCTTTTCTTTTATCTATACCAATCTCTGTCTCTATCTCCATGCAAACGCTTAGATAAGAACGGAAAGAAAGGCATTTTAGTACTTTACAGGTATCTACCACTCCGTATTTGTTATACTCAAAATTTGAGTCAGAATCTAAAAATTTATTAATTTAATTTCACATAAAAAGCATATCAGTTAATTTAAAACACATAACAATGAACACACAATAACATTTTCAAACAGCAAGCAGGCCTCAAAAGCTTCTCTTTTAAGTTTCGATACCCCTAAAACCTTAGATTTAGTAAACTTTTAGTTTATTATTGAGTAGATTATAGATAAATAATTTATAAGTTGATAGTTATATACCGAGATGATGAGGGGCCACCTACGCGTTAGCTCAACTCAAATACCGAAGCCCAGACAAAATGTTTAGCCTAATAACAAGGCTAGCTGATAGTCATAGCCCTAGGTAACACCAAGCTTTGACTGACATCACGATGCAATAATCAAAGAGCACTAGACTCGAAAGGATCCACCAATTACGCACACCCCAAAGACCTGCAACAAATTCGACAAGACATGGAGCCCTTAAAAGACGCACTCCCTTACAAATAAGCAGTCAGAAAGAATACAAGAGTCTAGTATGTCCATCTCTCTCAAAAAAGATGTATACAATTTAATTACTGTACATCTTTTTGACCTAATATATAAAAATAGGCCGTAGAGAGGCCGAAGAAAGGTCGTCCCCCGTACAAAATACACACTGCCAAGCTTATTAGGAATATATTTATCTCTCTTAATGTTAATTTAGTCTTCAAAGCGTTTTTTTTTTAAAAAAAAAACTTTGTTTTGCGATTATTAACATCAAAATCACAGCATCAAGAATTTTTATCACTGTACGATCAGTCAAAAAGACTTGATTGTTCGTCTATAACCCGAGGATCCTCGACCTTATCAGATACCTTGGTAATTTGGTCTCAATCTTGTATTCATATTTGTACCTGTATGTTTTTAATCATTTCTCACACATTGAATTCATATGTAAACATCATATTTAGAGGAATGGTGCTAATTTATATACATAATTTTTTATCAATGAATGTAAGTTTCTATCTAATCTCATAAATTGTTGAGCTTTACGATTTTACTCTAATTACTTGCCTGTTGCTTAATTCTAGAACTAACAGTATAAACGTATATTTGTAATTCCGATACAGCTTGGAAAATAGAGATTAATAGAATAGAGTGATCAAAGTATTAATAACTTATCCCTGTACCCTGTTTACCATCTAGTTTGACCATGCTACAAACTTGGGCTTGCAAGCTATTCTTAGCTCTATGTAACTTAGTTAATCGTAAACTGAAAAACACAAAAAAACAACATTAGTACATATATTATAGCATATTTAAAAGCTTAGTTGAATCCTTAAGTTTTGAGTTTAGTACTTAAAACTGCTTTCTGCATCACTATCCAATCATTCTTTTAATTTTGTATAAAGTCTTTTTAATTAAGACAAAACTAAAATATCTATAACAGTATTCCATCCACTTAGATGAAAGGTTGTATATATATTGATGGACAATCACCATCAATTAAAATTTCTATAATTCAAGTGATTTAAAAAAATTAAAAAGATATATATATATGAAAATAAAAATCATATCAATTTTAATATGTATATTAACTAATAGAGTTTTTTTTTTCCGAAATAAGATACTTTTTAATCTTATTTCTTATAATAAGATAGTTTTAAACTTATTTATTAAAAAATGATAATTTTATCATATAGTCATCTATGTTATCTTTTTAATTAAATATTATAATATATATTTAATATAATAATTTTAAAAAATTAAAAAAATATATATAAAAATAACTTATGCTCTCTGTCTCTCTTTTGTTGTCTTTATCATAATTTTTTAAAGTTCAAATACTCCCATAATTCAAAACAATGATTACTAAAAAAATTCTTTAACATATTTATATTGTTAATTAAGATATTTTTCTAAATCCTCTTGTTTTTATTTATTGAATTTTGATAAAATTTTCTTTAAATTCTCTAGCATATGTTAATAAGATCTGCTGATTCTTCTTCACTTCCTTTAGATAATAAACTGCACAAAACGACTGCATTCTTACGAGCCTTAAACGCAGAATGTAGTAAATCTTGTCTGTACAACAGTATTGCTTTTAAAACGAGTATCGGGTGGATACCCCACAAGAGCATGATTTCCCCTACAGCTGCTTCTTCTTCCCTTAGCACTCTCACCTTCCTATATAAGATCCCAGCTTTATTTCTTCTTCTTCTTCTATTTCTGATTCAGCAACAGTACCACTCGCCATCAGTCTGATACCCTTCTAAGAGTTGCCAAAGAACTGCAGGAGGAACAGGTCTGTTGCTGCTCTTGAGGGAGTCACCAAGCAAAGTAGCTAACTTTAAGTCTCTTTCCTGCTTTCCTTTGTTAGCCCCTTATATTACCAAATGAACAATATAATGCTCCCTTATTACCAGGGGAAAATGGGCCGCAGAGATAAGAGATCCACGGCAGGCGACAGAGGTTTGGTTAGGGACGTTTAAGAAGGCAGAGGAGGCGGCAAGGGCTTATGATAAGGCAACCATTGATTTTAGAGGACCAAGAGCTAAGCTTAATTTTCCATTTCCTGATAGTGGCATTGCAAGTTTTGAAGAGAGTAAAGAAAAGCAAGAAAAGTAGCAAGAAATTAGCGAGACGAGAAGTGAATTTGAAACGGAAATGGGGAAAGAAAGGACTGAGTTCTGGGATAAGATTAGAGAGGAAGACATAAATGAACGGATGATAATGATGATGGATTTTGGTAATGGTGATTCTTCAGATTCTGCTGGTACTGCAAGTGCATTGGGTTTTAATTAAATTTTGACAAATTTTTTAATATCAATTTAGAAAAAAAAAATATATCACTATATTGAATTAAAATGCATCCTATGTTGTCTTATTATGAAAAATAAATTTAAAATTATTTTTAAAATTTTTTTTAATGTGGATATAGCATGAAGGGGTGGGTATTCTTGGAATATGGAAGTATTTTATAAAAGGAACGGGATTCAAGGAAAGCAAAATCCAGTTTTTTTTTTTATATAATTAAAAAAAGAGTATTTTTCAATACAAATTAAAAAAAAAACCTTTAAATTGCGAATAAAAAAGAAGAAGAAAGAAACCTTTAAATTGAAAAAAAAAAAAACAAACTTTGAAGTGGGTTTAGGTAAACAAACTGAACCTTGAAATTGGACATAAAAGAATTTAAGTTATCACTTAAATCGCAACAAAAGCTCATCCCATCACAAGTTATATATTGTTAAGCAATACTAATCAATTATTACTATTTGGTTATTGAAATATCCTTGGCTCATATTACTTTTTCCTACATTATACGGGGTATGGCTAAAATCGATCATATGTTTGCCTTAGAGTTGACCCCCTGCAAAAGAATGGAAAAGGAATAAAAATAATAATAAAAAAAGTTACAGTTCTTAGGGTTCATCAAAGAGAAAATGATTTTTTTATGTTGTAAACGCATTAGCTTAACAAATCTTATATTTGCCGATGAGTTTTTAGTTTAATGCATCGGTGTTTTTTTTTTCTTTTCTTTTTAAGGAGTTTCGAGTTTGAACCTCTTCTTTATATATATATATATATATATATTGTATTTGAATTAGAGATTTATTAATCCACGAGAATATATAAAACAAGAACTCTTTAAAAAAATTTAATTGACAATTATACCCTTAATCCAATACTAATATGCAATTTTCACCTCATCTCTAATTATGAAAAAAAAATATTGAAGAAATTCTAAAAAAATTATAAAAACTAATAGGTTCATCTTGTGTTTTTATTATTTTTCAATTTCTTAACCATATCATACTTAAAATAACATAAAATAAGTTTGATAAATAACTCTTAAACTATATAGTACATTATTAGCACTTTATTTTACCTATCAAAAAATATATAAAAAAGCCCAAAATAATAATAATATTAAACTTCATAAAATAATAAAACTACATCAAAGTTCATTAAATTTTTAAATTAGATTCTTATTGTTTTATAGGAAATTGTTTGTTATTGTCTTAAATGTTACTTTTTACTCTTTTGGACAAAATTATCTACAAAATTTGTATTTTCTTTTGATAAATTTTGCTAATTATAATTAGAAAAAAATATTAAAATAAAGGCTCATAAAGTCTTTATTCTTACCTATACTTAATTCTATTCACATCACATATAATTAAATATAACTCTTTCAAATGAAAAAAAAATTATCCTAATATCATATTATCATACTAAAAGTTAATAGGACCATGATTAAAACTTTTATTCACATAATGCACTTTATACATTCATAAAAATATAAATAGATTTTATTTAGATAAATGATGCCTTTCGGAACAATAATTTAGGAATATTATAGTAATGATAGTAATCAACTATAGATATTTATTAAATATATTTGATCAAAGTCAAGCTTTATAAATAATAATAGATAATGTATTACTATTATATTGGTATTTTAATATGTAATTATATTTATTAGGTATAACTAATCCCAGCATATCATATTTATATTTTGATAGTTTGACCATTTTTATAATTTAAAAAACACAGGACAAAATATTATTTTAGTTTTTTATTTAATAAAAACTGTCTTTGTATGTATAATAAACGATAAACTCATTTTCTTCTATTCTTGCAAGAAAGATGTTTTTTCTTATAACAACACACGATATGAGAAATACATTTTCAATTTTTAACTATGAAGGTAAATAAATTGATGCAAATTTTTCATTGATTAATCTTTTTTTAAAAGAAACTAATTATAATTAGTCACACAAATCCATGCAATGTACTCTTATATATCCTAACTACTAACTATTTTATCTCTATATTTTTTATTTTAATACAATTAAAATTTATTTATATGTCTTAAAAATCAAACATACTAAATTAATTTCAAATTATCAAATTTTATATAAAATTATTTAGATTTTAAAACCAAAAAATTTAACTTAATAAAAACTAAAAATAATTTACTTATATAATAATTCAAAGTAATCTATTAGAGATTATAAAATAGTTGAATAATACACGCTTACATGTGTTAAAAACCTAATTATATATAAATGAAGAGATCAAATGAGATGGGGAGTGTATGTGGTAAAAAATATTCTAGTTTGATAATGAGTTTAAAAGTATCTTACATTGGGAAAAATAGAATCAAAAGTACCCTAGTATAGAAAACACTTTTTTACATTGGTATGAATATGAAGTGGGAAATTAAGAAAATTATGAAGTTTCTAAACATGGAAATAAAATAAAATATTCTAAAAACAGGGCTATTTAAATTATTTATAGTCTAACGATAATGATCTTTTATAATAAGAGGTTAAAGGTTTAAATTTTAATAGACTTAGTCCTGTAAAAACCTTAGGCATGTGAGTAAAAAAAAAAAAAAAACTTAAATTATTTGCCTAAAATTCTCAAAATCAAAATTAAGTAAACCTAAAGAAAATACAAATAAGCAATAAATATCTCTCGGGAGCAATGCACTTGTTGGGAATCAGTAAGCCCATTTTTGTTTTTTACCTCACATTATTGGGCATACGTCGGAAATGTGATGCAGCCCACTGAAGGGACCAAAAGTGAGGCCACGTCTCAATCACCAACTATAAAATAGGTCAAATCAATCGGGAAGATGCTTAGGGCTTTAAATTGGATAGACTAGGTCTGAAGTGACTAAAGGCACCCAAAGTGCTTTCAGGTGCAAACATGCAATCGGACATTGCTGTTTTTGGCATCTTTTATGCCTACAGGAAACTGGTAAAAATTGGATATGGTATGAAATGGGAAGAAGAAAAGCCATGTGCTCTGCCCGAAAGTTTTAAACTATCTTAAAAATAATAAATAATACTTATTTATGATATACATTAAAAAAAATCATATTCAAATCCATCAAAAAATTATAAAAATATTTTTAACTTTGCTCAATTATTATTAATTATTATTTATTTATTCTACTTTACCTTTTCCTTTCTTTTGAACCACTTTTTGATTATTATACTGATTGTTTTTTTATCAAGAAAAAAATCTTTTTGAAACTGTTTATATTTAATTCATCCTTCAAAACCATATCACATTTCAGATACGAATAAAGAGAATAAATTAAGACCATATATTATAAATATATAATTCTCTTAAATATATTAATTATTGTTTTATTTTTTAATCATCGAAAGTGATAAAAGAAACATCTTGCTCTTTTTTCAATAATTTTTTTGTTCTTAGTGGACTTCTTAATAGGATTTGAAATTAGATGAAATTTTGACCATCTATTAGACAAAAAAGAACAAACACGTCTCGTAGGATTCTCTTTTTTTCTTTTTTTTTTTTTTTTATGACAAGAAATCCACATCTGTTGGATGAAGAATTCATGCTCGTTATGTGAGATATGATTTAAATTATGACTTCATAAGTTCTTATCCCTTATGCCAGTAAGCTAATTATGAAGTGATTTTATATATGGATGATATGGCTAAAGATCCAATAAATAAAAATGGGATAGCGCATGCATGTTGCTTCAAGTTCGAAATAAATCATGTTCCCTTGAAATATGAGAGGGGATGCTAATTCTATTTAATGGCCATACCACCCTCCTCCTTTAACCATATATTCATTCCTAATCTGATTTTTAATTTCTTTTTAATTCATTCTTATAATTCTAATGCCTTATTCCTCTTGATTTTCTCCACATCATTGGAAGGAGTTGCGCCCTTAAATTGCTTGCAATTATATATTGCCATCTTTCTAGCTAATTTCAGAATCGCGATTTCTTGAACATTACAAGCATATTATATGCCAACCTTTAAGGCTAATCTTATGATTTCTTATGTCTTTTCCTTTTTGTCTTTATATTCTATTCTATATATATATATATATTTTGTTAAATTGTTTGAATGACATGAGGAAGACTTGAAACTTGGGAGCTCATCCAGTCATTAGATCTCTAGATTTAAGCCAGTCATTTCCTCTCATTGAAAGAGTACCATTAATATTCTGCTAAGCATCCATTGATGTTTATTAACCATGTCTGCTGTGTTTTCGCAAGACTTGAACTTTTCATATTTTTGTTAATGATTTTATTTTCTTAATACAGACCGTACTAAAACATTTAAAGCATTAAAATCAAATTTCGTTCCATATAAAATTGTTTAAATTGTTGGAATGATTCAATAAATATTCTATTTGAGATATAATTAATCTGATTTCTTTGATATTGTTGTCGTCGATAGATTATCATGAACCCATTTTGCATGGTTTATGTTGTTGTCATCCTCATGCATTAATTTTGTTCTCCATACGCTCTGCAGGTAATGCTTTGCAGATTCACCATCCAAATTCTATATTTTAATTAAAGTGACTGAGAGCAATGCCCTTCATCTTTTTATCCACCATGTGCCACCTTCATGCAAAGACAAATGTTTTGTCGTGCTCTAGCTGATTTTATGGATCATATATGCTTGATCTTGTTTCTTAAATCTCACAATTCCCACCTCACCTTTCTACTATTATTCAGGAAGAGCAGAATTCGTGCCGTACGTGATTGCATTCGAGATTCCACTAACTTTTCCTTCCAATTGTAATTTGTTTGTTTGGTAGCTGAAAAATAGATTGGACAGAGTAAAAAATTGAAAGTTGGAATCTTGTTTTAGGGTTATCTAGTTGGAATATTTCTTTTTGGAGAGTGAATAGCGTACCGACCTTTAGTATCAATAGAAAAAAAGCCAAGTAATTCCATAAGAAAATAATATATATATATATATTTTTTTAATGTACCAATTCAAATAAGAATAATACGTTTACTCAATTTATTAAAAAATACTCTTATTGGTAAAATATAAAAATGATTTTTTCATAATTACCATGTTTGGTTTTAATAGTACGTAAGAGTGTGTTAGCGTCACATACCTTTCACACTCTAAGACTAAATTCCTCCAAAAATGGTTTTAATTATGTCATCCATGCTTAAAAAAATTAATACATTCAGAATTTTTTTCTTTCTTGACAACTTCAAGAAATTATGTATTGTCACGCATGCAGGGTCCATATAAATACTCCTTTCCATGGCATTATTTGTACAATGGCTAAATTTATTTTACATTTGGATTAATCACATGAAATATCTTTCTATTTTTAATATAGTTTTTCTATTTTTTTTTATTAATCACATTTCTCTATCCATGAATTTTTTTTTAATGTGTCTCTTCTGATAGTTTTTCTACCAAATTTCCAAGTAAATATGACATGTGATAAAAAAAATTGACACGCATAATGCCATGTCAAATTAACTGATCACGTGGCAAAAAAATGGAAAAAACAAAAAAAAAAATCATAATAAAAAGAAACTTAAAATCTGGAAACTGTCAAAATCTAGAAATGTCTCCTTCACTGTTAGCTATACTCTTGGTCCGTATTGGGCCATTCATTTACATCCTTTAAGCCATCTTATCTTGGCCGAAAAATCAAAAACTATCACCCGTCAAACTTTTACTCAATGGGTGTTATATCTAAATTTATTTCGGACACGAGCCGAATAAATTGGAGATAGAAGTTGAGTAAGACCCATCAAATTATTTAAATGAATTTATGATGGGCTTCATTTAAAAGTGCATTGGGTTTAATTATTCCATTGAAACAAAGGTCGTATGCTAGCTTCTTAATTAAGCCAGCCACATGCATTAAAGCCGAATCAGGTAGTCCAAGGGAAACTACTAGAGCTCTCTCAACGGAAGATGAACTCTTAATTAGTAAAACTGAATGAAACATGTAGGAAGTCCTGTTTGAAAGAGGACAGATGACCAATAACAAGTAGTGTATGTATAGTTAAAAAAATAATGGATTTCTAATGAAAATAAAAACATGATCCTAATAGTTAGGAGTAATATAAAAATTTATAGTACGAGGAAAACAGAACAAGATATTGCAGCGTAAGGATAAAAAAGAAGAAGCACGAATGCGTTGTAGTGCAAAGAATGAAGAACATGGAGCACCACAGCTTGCATTGCATTAGAGAGAGTGACCCATTATTAAAGGTCATGGAGGAGTAGAGAGTTTATAGATACGGATTGCAGCTAGAGAGAAGAACACAACAATACCAAAATACAAGCAAATGGGAAACAGTTCGAGAAACACTATCAAAAGTTTCACACTTAAATTTATTAGGCAGTACCTAGTAGGCTATAGCTTATAGGCATTACTCAGTAGGGAATAATTTATAGACTCATAGTTGGTTATTGATCCTCGCAATCGCCATAATTCCCAGTTCTTTTAACAATCTATTATTCTAAAACAACTTGCATTTCTCTGTTCTTATACCTTAAATGCCAGTAAGTTTTTTTTTTTTAATTTTTTTTTCCCTATTAGTGTAATGATGGTGCTGCTGAAGTCTCTCTCTAAATACAGAGTTTTCAGGAGGAAGCACTGAAGATATGCTGAAATTAGATGATTTTAAAACAGCTCCAGTTCTACATGCAATGATAGGTAATGCCAACTTTTTTTTCCCTTTTCAACTCTATTATCATATCTTAAATTTCTGGATATAGTATTACAAATATAAAAAGAGAGTAGAGAATTACATTTGGCTAAGGATAAAAAAGATACAATTAGTCTTTTTCTTGAGATAGGCAAGCATTACGAAGAATAACTTTCGGGATGTGTTTTAATCATTGATATGCCTTGGAAATCACTAATTTCATGATTTCCGCTATGAAAGAGACAAACCGATACCCTTATTTAAACTTCCACACATACTCACCTACAAACATACCATCCTACTTCAATTTCAAAAATTCTTAAATTTTCTTAGCTTTCACGTCCGTTGCGAAGTATTTATTGTAAAAGACCTTTTTAAATCATTCCCGAGTCAAATGAGGCACATCTACCGTTAATTGTGTGCTCTCCCACCGAGTGCGAGAGTCTTTAATCAGCATAAAGATAGTACACGACACTTGCTCATTTTTGGCGAATCGTAGATACTCGGATATCACTTCCAGCGACTTAATCCATTCCTTCGCTATCATTGGGTTAATACCCTCGGTAAACTCTTAAAGATTTATCTTTCGAAATATTTCTATTACATCGTTTCTATGTTGAGGCGGAGGGAGAGGTCGTTGATGCATAGCTAGGAGTCTGTCTTATTTGCTCTGCGTGGGTCTATTGTTGTTCTTGTATTGCTTGTTGCTGATGTTGCATTAGGTCTATTAGACGATTCATAGCGTCTTGTGGGTTCTCATTGTTAGTATCGGAGGTTTCTTCTCCTCCTCGCTCGTACGGGATTTCACCTTGACATGTTTTGACTTTGTACATGTCACGTTATGTTTGGTTTAGTTTTTGCATCGAAAATCTTAATGCCATGCGTCACATAATAGGGAATAGCAAAAAATATATAGAAAACAAATCATATCATACACGCCCAACATTCATAGTGACATACATGACTACATCCCAAAAGGTTTTCATGTCATCATTACATTCAAAAGGGGTAGTTCTAATTACATCAAAAGGTGCACGAAGATCTCAAAAAGTGCACGGGACACTAGGTCGTATGATACGTTTCCAAGACACACATCTACTCCGTCCAATCACCAATCAACAAAGCGAATACGACGTGGAAAGGAGACCTCTTTTCAATCGAGGAGCATAAGGTCGCCCAGTCTTCTCTTCTTAACTTTCGAATGGCTAATGTCCTCAACCGAATTAACTTTCCTAACTCTCAGCTATATCACTGTCTTTATTTATCTCTATATATAACAAAGTTTTTGTAGAAAAGGCAAGTGTTCTATTCCAAAAATTTCTTCAAAACCATACGTCTATTTACTAGCATAATTGTGAAAAGTTCATAACGGTACCCTAGAAGATGGCCCAAGCATTCAAGATTTACAATTATACGAGGTAGCTTGGTGACATACATAGCTTTGAGATCTCATGTCTCCAGTTTCTGGAGCTTCCTAACTGAAGTTGGATTGACTCTTACTTCGGTTTCTCTTAAACTTAGATACCTCAAATGGTATAGCCTGAACACCTCATTTGAAAATTTCTCTAAGTTCACTCCTCTCAATTCCAATGCCCCGAGCAGCCTGATAGCACCACCAAGTGATCTTTTCAATGAAAAATCCTCAACACCAAACACAAGAAGGGGTTGAAATTTGGCATTATTTTTTAAGTATATTTCTTGAGGCATTCTGAATTGACAAATGGTGAGCTTTTTCATTCCACCTTGTATTCTGATTTTTGCGCATCATCATAAAATTCTGATTTTTTGACTTACAAAGAATGATTTATCGTAGCAAGTCATGGATGCGATATGCACAGATTTTGCCCTCACTAGTTTGCTGACTTGCATCAAGCTTCTACTACGAAGCTCATTGAGGTAGTTCTCAGTAACTTCTTCCAAAGTCTTTCCATCTTTTTCTTTCTCAAAACCTTCTACAATCTGTTGGATCAATTTTCTCAATTTCATAATTTTCTGAGAATATGCTTACATACAACAAACAAGCTTGCAGATAGAAAGACAAATCCTAGTAACTGAGCAACAATATCTCTCTCAAACTTTGAAGCTTGCTACCTTCTAGTCCGCCACCAACGATGCACTTCAATATTTCCCATTCATGAATTTTGCTCGTTCTTCATCATCGCCAACAAACTACCAATAGCCACAATTGCAAGAGGTAGTCCCTTGCGTTGTTTCAGTATTATTCGTTCCCCTGAAATGTCTTCTTACAAAACAGGGTCCAAGAGTTAATAGACGATAAACCTCTAGAGTAGGAGCTTTATTTTTAGATTCTGTATAGAATCTAAAGGCAATTTCAATGCTGTGTGATGTAAGCATCACTCGACTGCTGTAAGTGTTTTGAGGCAATGCATATTTGAGCGAACCCCACATTTTTGCATGCAATACATCATCTAGAACAATCATGTATCTGCTTTCTTTGAGGAATTTTTTTATGATGCCATTTAACTCAAGAGTTGACATTTTCTCTGTGATTGGAGGTGCTGGTTACCTGCATCCATTAAAGAGCTTGGAGATTATGCTTTTCAAGACCTCTTTAATTTTGAATGACTCTGATATAATGATCTACGCATGATTCTTAAAATATTTATTGACTTCAATATCGTCAGGCTTTCTTTGCTAGCTAGGGTGGTTTTAACCAACCCTTCCATTCCTGCCACCGAAATGACTTGCAATGCCGGATCTTATTTTCTGAGCCACTCCATTAGTTGCCTTTTGGGTTTATCAATGCCAAGCAACTCATCGTCTTCTATTAGTAGTGCATCTCCTTGATGTTCATTCCAGGTGTTGTTTGTAGAAACCCGCTATGCCATCTAATTTGTATCTTTGACATCCTCTGGAGATGCTAAAAATTCTGGTTTTGATGCTTTGCATTTCAGAAGCAATTTGATAGCGATGTTTCACGTTACTCTTAATAAGATGAGTGATCTTGGAGACGAGACCATTGCATCCATTCCTTTGATTACTAGCCAAACGATCATCAGCCACTAAGCGAAGAACATCTTCAATGTTGAAAGCGATCTCTCTTACTTGCTTGACCAATACACTGGCTTGAGAATCTCTTTCTGCCACTGGCAGGAAGGCTGTTATGCGCTCAAATTCATCTCAGACAAACACAACTTTTCCTTGAACTTTGCTTAACAACTTTATAGGAAAATGATCTGGTCTGTCTTTATATAATAAGCTGAATCTCTATCATAAACTTATATCCTAAAATTAACCAATTATATCTCTGTTATTTAAGCAAGTTTACAATTTATCCTTTTGGTCAATTTTCCAACCAAACTACCTAAAATATCATAGGACTTGCACATGATTTTTTTATTTTTGATGAAAATATCTCCCTAGCTGAACGTGTTAAGTCTCCAATCTATACTTATATAATGAGTTGAATTTCTAATATGTTCTTAATCCAGAAAAAAATGTATATAATTGTGAACTTTCCTAATAATTTATTGCATTTTGTTAATTAAAAAAATATATAAAAAATTAGTATATGTTAGTATATAAGTGTTCAAGGAATTGTCATTTAATCAAAAGGCCTTGATCTCTTCCTTAGCGTGTTAGATCGTGAAGTGCCCTTTTAGTGGTGGGTACTGAATATTTTTAATGCTAAAAAATCAATTATATTATTGTAATTATAATAATTTATTTATGTATAAAATTGAATAAATTGATATAATAGTTACTAATATGTTAAATCATCTTTATAAAAGAGAATATGTAAATCTTGTGCGAAAGTGACTAAATGATATGAATGTCATTGATTGGATTAAAAAACGACATAATTATAATATAAATTATTGTTAATCAGTCTCTTAAGCATGTATTTGTTTAAAATTAAAAGTTTGTAAAAAATAATATTAAAAGATTGAATTGGTAAATCAATATCATTTTTCTATGATGAAAGTTGTTAGAGTTTGATAGAAGGTACTTGAATTTAAAAATGACCAAATTATTTGATTATATTTTATTTAATCACAATATCTGAATTTAACCATAAAAATATATCATTGAATAATTAATAATGTTACTATTGACTCATTTCACTTCAAAATACTCTTATAATACCAACATAAGCTATTGTTCTGAATTAAGGACGGATAGGAGACTCGGTTTATTATATAAAGATACATTAGAGACTTAAGAAAGGTATTTTTATTAAAAAAATAATAATGTGTAGGTCATGTGTTATTTTCACATGATTTGATTGAAAAAATTGATCAAAATAATATATTAAAACTTATTTAAATAACAAATACATAATTGACTCACTTTAGAATATAGTAACATATTAGAATTTTAATTCATTATATAAACCATTTCTCCCAGCTTTATCTCCTCATTGAGAAAGCTTGAGATCTTATCAACCAAAAAGAACGCCACAATCCCTGCCATGTCTTTGCTTGTTGTTTTTAAAAAAGTTAGCGAATATTTTAAGAAGAAAATGTTTTTCTTTCAAAGAATGGCTTTTCGAAGTTCATGATATTTGCTCAAAGAGAGGGTGACAAGATAACACCTATACAATTCAGAAGGAAAAATGTTTCAAAATAAATGAAAAATGGATGATGTTGGAGAGAGCTATGTGTTTTGCCAACGAAAAGATTTATTCTATCCGTTTTGTGGGAAGAAAGAAAATAAGAAATGAGAAGAGATGCAGACTTAGGGAAGGAAGGAAGATAATGTCAAAGGAAGGTGAAACAATGTAGAAGGTTCGTGGATGGACCAAACTCAAGAGAAGTTATTAGGAAATTACGTTGTTGAATTAAGTATGGGCTAGTTGCCATGCATCAAACAAGCAAAACACAAAACAACGAAGAAGACAAGCAATATAGTACCTCAGGTCTGACTCTACAAGCAAAGGCAGGAGTTTAGAAGTTCTTCTAGCCGCCCCATACCCCGCCGCCCCACCACCCCCAGTGGGCGCCCGCGCGTTGTGGTAATGATTTCCTAATTCTAGTTTTTACGTTAATTGAAATTAAGTTTTTTTAATGATTTTAAAAGCGTATTTTTTATATTCATAGGATGCTAAATTTTATTAATGCTAGCTTCAAAATTTGAATTTAGAAATTCCCAACAAAGAACCAACATTTTTCTTAGCTACCATATCAACCTTTTATGCTAACTCATCTAGATTGAGAGTTGTTTTACTTTAAAAAATGTAAGAAAGAGAGTATATAAATGTGAAAACAATATTGGGAGAATTTAAAAAAAGATGATATTTGCCGAGTAGGAGTCTCAAGTAAAAATGCAAAACATGTCCCTTAAGGCTTGAAAATCAAAATAATACCCACGGCAACTGGGCCTTCAAGTATTGACCACTTCTTGGGCTCTCGTCCATGCCGATGCTTGAACGTTTACCGGTATAATGTAATAAAACCGATAAAACTCCACCGGCTCTTTCTCGTTTTCAAGGTTTTTATTCATCTATCTTCAAAAAAATCATAAACCAAAAATTTGGATAATAAAAAGTAAGCACCTAGGTAAATCCTCCACTAGTTTTGAATTTTCTTTTGATCTGTTTCCATTTGGTACAAAATTTTGAATTCAAACCATTGATTTCTTTGTTTAATTATGGAGTTGCAATTGCAGGTTTCTTTTCTTTTTTCTTTTTTTCCTAGAGTTGAAGCACTAGAGAGATGCAGAAATTGGGTGACTTCAAACTGCCCCAGTTCTTCAATTACCCGCCCTACTTCACGTATTTCCTACCCTTTTGCAACTTTTCTACTTTGGTAGAGTATTGTAGATTCTGTTATGCATTGGGTTTTCATTTGATCATCGTTGTGTATATTTTGCTGTTTTTTTTGTCAAGTTTGCAGCCAGTGAGGGACACTCGAGAGAAGCAGGTACAGCTTTGGAAGGAACTTATCCTTGATTACTGTAGGACTCAAAAGATATTCGTGATTGGACTGGAACAAGAATTTCCTCTGTTCTCAAATCATGTGATTGAAAGTAGGTCTTACATTTTCTTCAGAATCTAATTACGTTGTGTGAACAACTCTAAAAAGGCCACCCTTCTGGTATTGGTAAGACATTTGGAAAACCATTACATTTGGCTTCAGTAAAAGCATAGCATGAAGATATCAAAATATAAAGAAATTTCACCTGGGAGGTACAGTGTGTTTAGTTCCATTCATTATTTATGTACATCTGCTTCTCATTTTCGACTATTGACTTGGTATGCTTGGTGTTTGAGCAAATTGCTCTTATCTAGTATGGAGTCTGAGAGGGTGGTGATAAAGGTTTAGGCTGCCCTTCACAACTTACCATCTCATTTGTATGTGTTCACAATAGCATAGTTGACTGCATAACCTTGGTGAATTCGACATTGTGGAGTTTTATCTCAAAGGTTGAATTTTGGAAGTATGTCCTTGGACTTTGACATGGAACACAAATCACGGGAGCTGGAATATTCAGATTAAGTTAGCATCACAAATAATTGATTTATATCTTTAATATTTTTGTGAATTCTTATATGCTTTTCCTTTATTGGTAAAGCAAAAGTGTGCAACGAAAGCAATTTGATTCGTGGTGCAGGATCCCTCAGTCACGAAACTAGGGAAGCATTTCTCTCAGCATTAGTGTCTGAAGGTTTATTTTGATCGTGTTGACTTAGACCTTTATTTGATTTTATTTTTCTGATTAGATTTCTAAGCAGTAGTTGCTGTTAGCACTGTAATTTCAATGTGTACTTTACTAAATGCCATTTTGTTCTAATAGGTCGTGCAGAATGGTTAGACAAAGGACATAGAAAATGCCTTATTCTCTGGCACCGAATCCAAGATTGGGCTGACATTCTCTTACATTTTGTGAGTCAGTTGTGATTTTAATATTTGGGATTGGTACCTTCGGCTTGGAGGACAGTGCCATGACTGTTGAGGAAATACGAACAGGCTTTGAATCTCGGGGAACAGGTAAAGGTTGATGTGAATGGTTAGACAAAGTAGGTTTGACAATGATTTCCAAACCATTTTGGATAGCATATAAATTTGAATAATTTAATTAAACAAACTCTATTCAGCCCATTCTCTTTTTTGGAAGATTTGAATTATGAAATTCAGTTCTATTTGCCTTAAGAAATGAAGAATTTTGTACTGATGTAAATTACACAATTTTTGGTTAAATTTGCTTGAAATTCTTGTGTCTGTCAATTGAAAATCATCACTCAGAATATCCACTGACAAGCTTCTTCTCTCATCATAGAGAATCCTAGCATTTCCTCTAACTAGCCATCTGCTATCTTCTTTGAATATTTTCAATAGCCATCAGTTTTGATCTACTTTAGCTACAAATTCCCCAGTTGGCATCTTTTACCTCATCCCAGTTATATTCTCAAAAGCTGTTAGCTTTAAGCTTTAAGAAAAATGCTTGCTGCAAGCATGCAAGAAATAGAAATCCTCTTACAGGGCAGGTGAAAATATGAGGTCTTTATATCCTTTTTGTGTTTTTATCAGGGTTTTGTTTAGATAACAATGATTTGGCAAGTCTTGCAAATAAATGCATCTTTGAACATCATGTGTGTTTGTTTCATGTCCATAATATAACAAGAAACATTCATTCACTGGGACTCAGACAAAACAGAAAGGAAGAACAAAATTGGATTTTTGTACTTATCCATATACTCTTGGCTTGCACCTAACCTTACTGGGGTGTCCAGCATGCTTTTGCTTTTGCACCTAGCATTTTTCCTTAAAATATTTGATGTGCGAGTTCCAGTGTGAGATTTCAAGACTACTTGTTAAAGTAATAATTTAAGAACTCAATCATCTTGGATATGTTTAGTTTTTTTCCCTTTTCTTTTTAGAAATGGGCTGTGTTTTTGTTTAGTATCCCCTCTAGGATTTAGTTTTCCTCTTTTCTAATTGCTCAACTGCCTATATAAAGCACCTGGTTTGACATTTTAGACATGTTATTGCTGATTGATCAAATAAAAGACATTGGACACCTTGGTCGTTGTATCTCTTTTCTTTGTCTCACGGTTTTATATGAGTATGATCTCATTGGATGTTGGTTAGAACATAGAGGTGGAGAGGAGTATAGTAAAATACAGGTTTGAAACTTGCCAAGAGTAGAGCTTATTATATCTGGACGTAGCTCTGTTGCTACTGTTTGTTGGTTATTTTTGAATGTTGTCTTTTGGAATTGCTTAAAGTTGGTGGCATTTCTGGGGATGCTGATTAGTAGTGTCTCACAATGAAATCTAAGAGTGCCGTGGTCCTTTGCTTCTAGTGGCGTAAGTCCTGTTGTCTGCATATCCCACTTTTTTTAATGTTTTGTCCATCTTTAGGATCATTGTATCAACGATCTCTCTTCTGTTCTCTATTTATTGAGCACACTTCCTGTTGTATTTATGCTGATACCAAGTTTTCTATGCTAAAAATCAGAGCTTCATGGAATGGATCGCACAATTTTGATGCGAGTGTTGAAACTACTAGAACATAAAGGGAAGCTTGCAATCTTTAAGGGAACTTCAGCTGATGATGAAGGTGTGAAATTCTCTGTGTAATGCTTCAACTGTCGCTTTGAAGAGTCTCTTGTTATTATATAAATATGATCAGACCATACTGGCTGTTATGGATTTTGATCAATGGCATTTTCCGATGTATGATTTTGTTCTTTCTTTTTGTATCATTCTAGACAGTAGTGATTAGTGAAGGTTCTTTGCTTCCTCTGTTTATTGGGAAGTGGTACCACTTAATGTGCAATGTCAGGTGTAATTCTAGTTTGATTTGCAATGGAGTTTTTCTTCTTTGTTCTTTTTTTGACCTCGGACTACTGATTGAGCCTGGGCAATGTCTTTAGCGTTGAAGGAATTTGGAACTTTCAAGAAAAACTCTTAAGACTATAAAACTTCATTTGGAATAATTAGATAAAAGGAAGAAAATGGGGAAATTGAATACGATTTATGATTTAAAATACAAGATAAATTTCATTGGATATGGAGCAAGCTTTATCAACGACAGGTGCATTTTGTCGGGGACTACTTTTTCACCAGCAAAATAATTCAACAAGTTTTTACTGGTTCTCAGCTGTTGGATCTGTCAAGAAGATACTGATAACATTTTATTATATACAAGTTTCGTATATCAAGGCTGGCTTTGCTAGGAGCTTCTTCATCCAAATTTTATCTCTGCGAGTTAATGTGAACTCTTATTTGCTCACCCTAGAGTCCGCTGTGGGAATTGTCAAAAAGCTTATTTCGAAAATATCATCACTCTCGCATTTTGAGATTTTTGCCTCATTAAAAAGCTTGTCTGAACCCAACTGTTTTGTTTGATTGAGTTAGCAAGTGTTGTCTGCGAAAATGTGTTATATGTGAAAAATGCTAAACAAACTGTAGATGCAACTGTCGCAGAAATCAACCATTTCTATATTCTATAATTAGAGCACAGAGTCGGAAAAAAAACAAAAAAAGACATGCATAAAACTATTAACTCAAATATAATTGGTTGCAAATTTAAAGTACAAAGCTAAATGGGTCCAAAACTGTTCATTATTCATTTCAACATCGCACACCTATATCAATCAGAGTACAAAATAAAAAGTGGAATAACAAGGCCGGAAGAAATTGTACAGTCGCAATGAGAGCCAGAGTTCAACCCTACCAAAGGCATACGGCTCTCAACTCCATTCTGTGGTTTTGAACCTCATTGATCTCTATACATATCAAAAAGATGGGAGGAACGATAACAAGCAATTGTTTAGTGGTCATGATAACAAGAGCTGCCTTGACCGATGTGCACGGAAAGCTTTCAGCTGTGTGTTATGTGGAAAAATTTCAGGCATAGGATGGAGCCAAACATTCATCAACCATATCCACCAGGTTTGGGTTTTCCAGTGCTGCAGCTACTCGCTCTTTATCATTTAGTTGTTTATTAACTGTATAAAAAACATAGATCAGGAAAAACAAATGCTGTTTCATAATTCAACACTTCCATCAAGTTGAAGTCTGCATCCCACCAACAAGGCAAAAAAGGAAATACAGATAACAGGAAAGGAAAAAAGAATGCTACTAAGTAATCCAGGAAGAGTGCCACAACACAAGTTTTAAAGGGCGTACTAGGTCACGAAAAAGAAGAGGCGGAGAAAAAAAGAAAATTGGCCATGGTTATTTCTACAGGCAGCCAGATATTTAATCAAGTAGTCAGAATCAATCAGTGCCTGTATCATATACAGCATCCTCAGGCTTCAAAACATTAGCTTCAGGGTAAGAAAAGACATGGATAAGATTTTATGGCCTTTTTTTTTTTGGATGAAGAAAGAAATTTTAACAAAAAGAGAAGGAAAAGAAGAATAACACTGAGAATAAGGAGCATTCAATAATTAAAATATGGTGGCAAGTCAATTGCAGGCATTTGAACGGCCACCCAACCACACAATTAAAAAAGCATTCAACAGCCAATTCCCTCCACACCCCAACACGAGTGATTACCTGCAGCTTCAGTTGCATGAGTTCCTGGTGCAACCTTGATATCCACCTAAACAGAATTGGGAAAGAATGGTGAGAAGGAGAGGAGAAAAGGCAGAGGGGGATAGAAGAGAGTGATAGAGTTTAAAAGTGCATGGGCCAAAAGTAGTTGTTAAGACCAGCACACATTAGAAGAGTCAGATAAAACTCAAAGTTAACCGTGTTACCCTTGCTTCTTAACCTACAGACCATAACATATAGACTAGACGCCACAATAAGGGAAAAACTACAAGACATTGCCTGGGGCACGCTCCAACAACATATTGTTACACCCAGTCCGAATCACATAGGAAATAAATAAGCTCCAGCATGCACTCAAACGATCCCTATTCCTCCATCAATTATAAAATCGTGTTGATGTATGAGTTAAATGTTTTTGAACTATGCTGATAATATGTGATGTTCAATCCATTACTTTATCAAATCACATCACTCCATGTTCGCAAGACTTTTTCCAAGGGTAAGAAATCCTTCTTCAAGGAAGTAATGAATTGTAGGGTTTATGGAATAAAACTTCCTTCACGGAACTATAAACCATAGTTTTGATAGTGCAACCAGGGAAACTTTGTCATCTACTTATCTTAGTCTACTGTGTTCCCCATTCCTGCTACTGGTGCATCACACAACTCCAATGTTCGCATATGGTTTCGCTATAAGCCAGTCAAGTAGGTACTCACAAATTACTCTAGATATATTAGGATACAGCTCAAAATTTTATAATAAATAACAGCTGCAAAGAGCCACACTATAGAGTAAATCAAATAAAAATAGAAGCCACCAAGCTCTTCCTAGGTGTGGTTAATCGCCTATTCTACCGACTCGAACAATAACTCTAGTCTCAACCTAAGTTCATCAAAAAGGCATATCTCAGTATTAGAGTTAGGTTCATGAATGGCTATGCTTAATTTCAAGGGAGGAGATATCACCTTGCAACATCCATTCAAGGAACTTGTACAATACCACTAATCAGTAAAAATCGTCTGCCTCTGCTAAAGAAATAGCTGAAAACTCAGTTAATAAATACCTTGTAACGTTGCGGCAGGCTTCTCATAAGTTTCACTCTCAAGCAAAGACCAATAACGGTTGCCATGCTACAATGTTCAACTGTTGGAGTAAATGTCACCCTGAAGAAGAGAAATAATATATGCTTAACGAGGAGCTTGAATATCAACAGCTATTGAAAGGTCACCGAAGTAGGAGTATAATTAAGATAGCAGCTATTGTTACCTGACATAACTGTGCTTGTCATCTACCTCAATCGCATCTTCCGTTATCACTTTAAGCTCTTCCAAAGAGTAAGGATGCTCTGGATCCTTAATATCTCTGATATGATTTGAGAATATTAAGAAAATGCAGAGTCTAAAAAAAATGGTTTCTTCACATTATGGAAATCATCAATCCTTTCTACAATAATTAGCAATTCACTCACTTAACACCCACAGAACAAAATGCCACAAATTATTAAGCATAAAAACACATAACATATTTCATGTATCATTATTTGGGCTTAATTCTTATATCCTATTAATACTGCTGAGGGATATCCTAATAGATTAAAAAAAAATGGCAGGGAACAAAATTGAATTAAATTAAACTTGAAAAAAAAATTGAAAAGGATATCAAAAACTTCGAGTTGATCAATAGGCTCAGCAGCATATTCATCGTCGCCAACAGTTGGAGAACTTCGAACTCGTCTCTCCTTCTTCTCATAAATCACTGGATTCGCGTTGATTAGCCCTGAAACCATTTCCTTTTTCCTATTCAAACAAAACCCAAAAACAAGAAACAAAATAATACTTCGCAAATAATAACGAGCACCCAAAATAATACTTCAACTTTATCCTAGTCTAGTGTGTTCCCCAACCCTGGTGCTGCCGTATCGCCCAACTCCAATTTTCGTGTACGGTTTTTCTGTATGCCTGCCAAGTAGACGACACAACTTTGACGCGTTAAAAGACACGATGATAATATATTTTTTTTAAAAAAAGAAAGTTAACAGACATGGGCTCCAAAATCCTAATGTAACTGGATCCTTTATGAGCCCAAATACGGCTTAGACCCAGCCCATTCTTTTGTCGAAAGGCATCTCCTTTTGATCTTAGGATAATTATAGTAATCCTCTGTTCTCCTTCTGAGTTTGTTTGGGTGTTCGTTATTATTTTACTTGGTATATCTTGTTTCTTGTTTTTGGGTTTTGTTTCAATAGGAAAAAAGAAATGGTTTGTGGGCTAATGAACGCCAATCCAGTAATTTATGGCAAGCAGAGACGAGTTCAAGTTCTTCAAGTGTTGGCGACGATGAGAGTGCTACTGAGCCTATTGATCAACTTGAAGCTTTTGATGTCCTTTTCACTTTTTTTATAAGTTTAATTTAATTCACTTGTATTCCCTGCCATTTTTTTTTAATGTTTTGTTTCTGGGGTTTGAATTATTCATTGAAAAGAAAAGAAAAAAATACTTGATTCTGAAAACATCCACTCGAATTGAGACATGATATTAACATGAAAGAGAGTTCATTTTTCAGAAAAAAAAAAAAAAAAACAGGACTTTAAATTTAAGAAGAAGTTTCTTATAAAGAAAAAGGCAAAATGTTTTCCTGCTTAAGGCAGACAGGAATGAGGAAAAAAGAAGAAGAAATAGATAGATAGGGATAATGAATGTTTTTACTCAATTTTCTTGTAGACTAAACAAAACAATTCATGTCCATTTGATCGGGGAAATAAAAATTTGATTAAAGTATGGAGTTTTATTCCATAAAAGAAATAAAGGGAATTTTAATTTGTAGTTTTCTTTGGCTATACCATGTCATAAAAAAACTAACGTGGATTTCTACTATCTATTCAATATGGAAAATCATATCTTATTATTAGTCATTATACTATTAAAATAACTATTCATCCAAACTCATTTTATTATTCACACATACTCATATATACTATTATTTTCACTATCCAATAGTATTTTTAATAATTTTAAAACTTTTTAAAGTAATTTATTATGAAATTTTTTTTAGTATTATACTTTGGTCCCTTTTTTTCAAATATTTTTTTTATCCGTAAATATTTTTGATTCATTTTGGTCTCCTTTTTTTTGTTTTATTTCATCACTTTGGTCCTTGTTTTTTTTTTTCCTTTGATTTTTTTAATTAAAAATCTTAAGGCAAAAAGATTAGAAAAAGAACAATCAAATACAAAATTTTGATTAAAAAATTATAAAATTGAATGAATTTTTATTATATATTTTGATAGACGCATAATATAACACGACATATCAAACTGAAATAATTTTTTAAAATAATTTTATATGTTTTGTCCGACTTGCAGCGTAGTATGAGTAAAAAAACTAGTACAAAACAAAAAATAAAAGAGAGAAACATGTAATAACTTCGAATGCCTACCAAACTATGGTAATTAAAAAAAAAAAAACCAAAACAAAACAAAATAAGTTAACAATTGAGAGCAAGAACATGGAATTATTGCTTTGAATAATTAAAACTTTTTTATAACAACAAGATTTTTACTAGAAATTTTTCTAATTTCTACTTATTTGTTTTTGATTAACTGATCCATTTATCTTTATATAGCACTTATCTTTTTATACATCATTGTAAGGATTTTCTGTTTTTATATATCTTTATATATTCATATTTTCTTCTACATGTTCTTTTCTATCTTTCTAGACAAAAAGACTACATCAACTTTAAAAAAAAATTGAATTTTAAATTCCTAAAAAAATAAAAATTAAACTTTGATTTTTAAAAAATGGAAAAGCCTAGAAAAACCCACAAAATATTTTTAAAAAATGAGAAAAAGAAAAATTTTGAAAAATCTAAAAAAATAAAAACATCCATAAAAATTCTTTAATATAAATATGTATACGATGGTGAAATAAGTTTGATGGACTTGGGTTTTCAAATTTTTTCATTGTACTAATGTTTGTGTATATATATATATATATATTAGGATTATTTCAATTTTCGTGATATGTTACGGGTTTTCAAGTTTATGATTTTTTAATTTTTCTATTTTTTTATTTTTATTTTCTAGGGCTTTCAAGTTTTGTAAAATTAAATATATATTTTTTATATTTTGTGAAAATTGATTTTTTTTATTGTCTAAGTGACATCTTTGTCTTAAAAGTAGCAGAAAGGTATGTGAGATATAATATTAATATAAAAGGACATATGAGAGTGAAAAATTGATACGATTTAAATACCTTTCCTATTTTGTTTTCCTCAATTAGGGATTTTTCTAGTCAACCATTTCCATCTTTAGCACTTACTTTTTCTCCTAAATCGGTACCTAAATGATAGAAACTTCTTGTTTCATGTACGAGTATAGTTGTATAGTCTTTTGCATTTAGGTCAATGTTTTCTTGTAATATAATAAGAGAGAAATACGGAGAAATTGCTTCTAATTCTTTTCTCTTGTATCATGGTATCAAAGCCTACCCATTAACCTCTCGCTCTTTTATAATGGAAGGATCAAAAGAGGAGACTTCTAACAAAAAAACATTAGTTCCGAGTCAATTTTACGGACCCTACGGATAATACTTACGAGTAACCCTCTCTATTTGCATCATGCGAACGACTACGGCATTGTCGATCAATCAAATTCTTAAAGGTTCGGAAAATTATGGTCCATAATGGAGATCCGTGATGATTGCACTCTTTGCCAAGAGCAAACTTGGATTCGTGATTAAAACCTACAAAAGGCCAATAGAAAATCCAAAATTAGCGGATCGGTGAGATAGATGCAACTACATGGTGCTAGCATGGCTTATCAACGCCATGAGCAAGGATATTTCGGATAGAGTTGTATATGCAAAGACAACGAGCATAGATCCGGACAGATCCGAATGACATGTATTTCGATAACAATGGAACATGTATTTTTTCGGTCTAAAGAGAGATATGCTCTCTTAATCCGAGGATCTTTTTCAATATCCGGCTATTATGTAAAATTGAAATGATTATGGGATGAATTAAACTCGTTTATTATTTTTCCAACTCGCACTAGTAACATTGTTAAGTGCAACCGTGAGGCATCATAAGACCTTGAAAAATACCAGCAAGAGTAGAAGATCATGTAATTACTCATAAGTCTCGATGACACATATTCGACAATTAGAGGTCGATTTTGTTTATGCAACCTTTACCTTTAGTGACACGAGTTTACAATTCAAGATAAGAAACGAGAGGCGAGTCACTCTACCCCATTTTGCTTGAAAGTTCAGCCACTTTTGTCTAATTACACTCAAGACAATGGAAAGGGTTGGAATAAAACTAATAATCGAGAGAAAAGTGAGATGTGAACACCGCAATATACCTGGATATACAAAGGAAGAATGCTACGAGCTAGTGGGCTATCCATCCGGGCATAAGTTCCACAAACTCAGCAAGCCAAATTCTAACAATTCATCTAATGCATCCAACTACTTTGCAAACCTAGCAACCATCCGGCATTAGTCAAGAGCAACTATAGCAATTATTGTCCATATTACAAACAATTGGAGACAAAGCGACTACATCATTACAACTAGTAAAATTACCCACTATCATTTTTCTACTCATTCTAGAAATATTGCATCTTCAACTTAGATTTTAGACAATGGCTCAATAGACCATATATGTCCGGACCTTGTCACATTTAAAACCATACAACGTTGCCCGTGTACCCCTCATGTCATGTTGCTTAATGGCATATAAACCAAAATCACACATATTGGAATAGTAGCCCTTACCGATAAACTATTACTCAAAGATGTTTTATGTATATCAAGCTTCAAATATAATCTCATATCTATTAGAAAACTTACTAAAGACCTCAATTGTGTGGTCAAATTTTTTGTTGATTATTGTTTGGTGTAGGTCCTTGTATTGAGGAAGACTATAAGGATTGGCATACGAACCGAGGGTCTCTACTCTTTTTCTAAACATCATTTGCTTCTTTCAAAAGCCTTTACAACTTCAACCCTATCTATCAATACCTCTAAAAACCTATGGCACCATGGTCTTGGTCATCCGTCATATTCCAAAATGTCATCCCTATAAATATATATTCCTAAAATAAAAGATTTACACGATACAATTTGTGAAATTTAACCACTAGCATGACAAAAGTCTATACTTTTTGATAAAATCAGTTCTTCTACTACTAATGCCTTTGATTTTGTTCACTTTGATGTATAAGGACCATATCGTGTCTCAACCATTAGTGATTCATGTTATTTTGTTACTCATATGGATGATTGTTTTAGAGCCATATGGACACTCCTCATTCGAGTCCAAGTCCAAAGCACCATAAATCATCAAAAACTTTTTAACAATGATCAAAAACCAATTTAGAAAAAAAAAACAATGAAACTCCTTCGAACGGATAATGGAATTGAATTTTTCAATCATACCTTTACTAACTTTTTGGCGGGAAAGGGCATTATTCATTAAAACACCTATCCTTACACACCATAAAAAAATGGTATAAACGAACACATCAACATATTCTTACCATCGCTGTGGCTCTCGGGTTTCAAGCCAATCTACCTCTTGCCTTTTGAGGAGATTGCATCCTAACAAAAACTCATATTATCAATCATTTTCCATCGCCATTGCTCAGCCATAAAACACCATACGAACTCCCTTTTTAACAAATTCCATCATTTTCCCATTTGAGAGTCTTTGGATGTCTTTGTTTCCTTTGACCAAAAGCCATGATCGTGATAAATTTGATCATGGAGCCACCAAATGTGT